AAATATTCTCAACACTATCAGGGAGGATTGGCTGTGAAATTTTTGTACCATCCATTCATGCTCCACTAGAGGATGAATCCTACTGGACTTTTTGGTGATCCTCTGACTTTTTCTATAATGATTACAGTCCTCGGTGCTGCTATGTGCATGTCGGTCATGGAAAGGGCTCGGGCTACACTAAATGGAACAAGCGACCCTTAGGTTAGGCATCATTGCTACACACCTGTGTTACCTCACTTTGATGTTCAACACGGCTGTGTGAAAAAGGTCTAACTTTTGTTTATGTTTAATTATTGTTGCAAAGCTACGCTTGCATAACCACCAGTATTCACTGTTGTGTGCGTGTGTGCGTGTGTGCGTGTGTGTGTGTGTGTGTGTGTGAGTGTGTGTGTGTTCGTTTGGGGAGCATTAAGGGTGAAAGCTGATGGGGGGAATCGAAGAGCAACATGTGGTCCAGGACTCCTAAACAGGGTCAAAGGTTAACTGTGGAGAATGCAAGTCATACTGAGGACTGGATTAAGAAGGACCACACGCTCACACAAGCCAAGAGCATCTGCGTGTCACAGAGTCATCGTTGAGCGTTTGGGATTTACTGTGACAGATTGTACGTTTTTTAAATTTGGTGCTTTATGTGTAAATCTCATGGGTTGGTGGGCGATATATATTGGGATAAAGAGCTAAAACTAGTTGATTAATTGTTTAATGAACTAGTTATTGGACAAGACTTTAATGGGCAACAAACAACTATTAATGTTTTAGAGAGGAGGACCTCTGAAGATCTAGATTCTACATTAAATCATCTATAGACGGAGGGCCTTATTCCATTGTTATCCCACATGACAATAAGCAAGATTTTACTGGATTTTGTGTTTTTTGTATAACTAATATTAATTGTTTTTGTCATTTATAAAAGCAAGAAAGCAAATTCTCTCTTTCTAGTCTCTCAAGTGTGACGATTTAATGCTTTTCTTTACCATANTTTGAGTTTTGGACAAAACAAGCAATTGGATTATTTTGCTTTGGGCTCTGGAAAAATATAAAGGGAAACTTTTCTATACAATTTCCTGGAATTTGATGTGCAAAACAATTGTTGTTTGTTGTTGAAAACGCAGTACTAGGAAAACTTTTCAAGTCAATTTAACTTCATTTATTAACACAAACTCACATATATTATACCTTGATGTCAGTATTGCATCACTATTGGTGCTTAAAGGAAACACTTATGACCAAATAAATAAAATATTTCACTTTTTAAAAAAGAAAATTGGAGGTTTTACAAAGATTTTATGTTTTATGTTCAAAATTTGTTGTGTTTTCTGCTGCAAGAAGAAAACTTTTTTGTCATAACTTACAGTAAACAAGGTCCTCTTGATCTCTTTTGTGTGTGTACCCTTATTTTCACTTGTATAAAGTCTGAGAAACTCCAGCGACATTGCAGATTTTCTGCACAGATGCATTATTATATGCATCAGGAGTCATTCAGTGAATCTCTGGCCATAATCTTTGCTTTAGTTCGGGTTCAACAGTGGCGTCAGTGCATTGAGTTTGTCTGGAGCCACACTGATCGAGAGGGGAAGAAGGTGTGAAAGTGTGTATGTATGTGCATGCATCTGTGTGTGTGTGTGTGTGATCAAACTCAGAGGCTTCTTACATCTCCATTAGGGTCCGGGCCAAACTCTGCCGCAGCATCCTGCCAAGAAACTGAGACCTCCATACTCGCCAAGACACACACACACACACACACACACACACACACTCTCTCTCTTTCTTGCTGTCTAAGCCTCTGTCACTCTTTGTTCCTCCCTCAATCTAAATCTTTGTTTTTTGTCTGAGTCTCAAATCTCTCTCTCTTTCCCTCCATCTGGTGCCCTGGATTTCTCTGTCAATATCTCTCTCTGGCGTCCTCCTCCATCACTCACTTTACTCCACAATCTCTCCTCCTCCCTCTACTCCTCTCCAGAGACGGACGATCCAGCCTCCCTACTGTCGCTCTTTATCGGTCTCTCCTACCTCTGCTCTCTACCTATAAAAAAACTACACCCTTCTCTCTCTCACTCACCACTACATCTGTTATCTCCATGTGGGAACATCTTTTACCCATCATGCCTCTCGGCGCAACACCGGCGTTGGTCGACGGTGGCAAATGAGGAATTCGGGGAATCCGCAGCTCTTCTGAGAACTGCTTTTCCCTATAACCTGTAACAACCTGAGATTTATTGCTATTGGCCAGGTCACGTCAGGAAGGGAGTGATGTAGTGGTGAATAAAAACGGGACTGAGCTATGACCTCCAGGTGGTGATTGTTAAATGTAAAAAGAAATCATAAATATAAATAAAAGAGTCAAGAAAATGTTCAGGAAAGACTTAAAAATGTTTCTTTTTAGCTTTCTTATGTACAGGAATAGTCACATTAGCATAGCTTAGCTTCAATAATTTGGTGTCTAAGTGATAAAGTAGCAACTTCTGCTCTGATGCCTCCCTCAGCACTTGCAGATTAATACTTGTTAGTAGCTTACAATGTTAACACATCTTCTCAAATGTTCCACAAGTGCATATTAAGTTAAGTAGCAATTATTACAATCATATGTCGTCATATAATCACAATCCCCCGGTGATAAAGTTGTACATTTGTCAGCTTTATAAGGAAGTTAATTACCAGTTTAGTTAGACCTGTCAGTACAAACATGCAAGTGGATGCAAATAGTTGTGAAATCTAATTTTGAGAACTAATCCTGACTGGAGGAAATACACAGAAATATATAGAAATACACAGAGAGATCTGGAGCTCCTGGTCAGTCCTGAGATCTGTCACACAAGAACAAACTAGCAATAAAGTCTGTATAGTTGGTACGTTAGCCGTTGTGCCTTGTTCAGCAAGTAAAATTCACATGATTTAAAGTGTACTAATGTTGTCTATACATACTGTAGATCCTCTATACATTCAGTAATTAAGCAAAGGGACAAATTTCTTTCATGAGTTTTG